ATAGCTAGAGACCTGACATTTTCAGTGCACTTTTGTACCACCATCAAAGCGTGTACCAAGAAAAATTGGTATTTAAAGTACCGACACAAGGATATTATTAAGATTTACGATGAAAGAAATAAAAATAATTAGCAGAAATAGTACTTTTTCGATTTATAAGTGACTGCCATTAGTTACTCGGGCAGATAAGTTAAAATGATGCAAACCAAATACCAAATGATTACGTTTGTATAGCTTCAAGGGTTGACACTTGAAAAATAAATTGTATGAGAGTTAAATATATGTTTTTAGCTAATATATTCAAAAATTAACCGACAAATTTTTGAAACATTTCAAATTGTTCTCGGAGATATCAGAAAAGCTATGGCTATTTAAAGCCACGTTCAATTTATACTAAGTGCTATATCAAATTATGTCTACACAGGTGAAGGATTCACAAAGCAACATACACTGACGCCGGTTTGCGCGTTAACTTCGGTTAGAGTGGGCCTTTAGAATTTGTATGATATTTGGGATTATAAAAAATTACATTCTGAGGCTCTGACTGGGGCACATCAATATCAAGTCATCCCCTATTTAGTAAGACGGTAGTTTAAGCATAGCTCTCACATTAATATTTTTCAGCTCACCAAAAACTAAAAACTAATATATTTTGTTGTTTATTTAAATGGTTGCCATTTAGTACACACATTACTTATATTACTATAATAATTAGTAGAAATATGACATTTACATTTTTCACAAACATAATTATATTAATAAAAACAAATCTTTCATACGGGAAATGCCAGTAGGATAACAAAAAAAAGAAGCATTTCCTTAATTTTATATTTTGGAACTAAAGTGAAAAGTCTCTATGGAGATGCTATAATAATTGGTTGTATAAAAGAAATTATAGTTATAATTTTGTTTCATCGTCTTTATCATTGTATTATATAATACTAAGTTTTTTGTGATTTGCTTATGTACCTATATAAAATTTGCGTCTGTTTAAAGCTGGATTTATGGCACACGTGGAAAGAGACGCGAAACAGAGGTCTGAAGCTAAGAAAAAAGAAATAAAACGTTCAGACTATTTGAAAACAATGGGTAACTATGAATACCGCAAAGGAAACTATGAAAAAGCTCTCATCTACTACAATCAAGTAAGTAACTAAAAACATAAAGTTACACATAATAGCATATTTAATAATATAAAAGTATCAAATACAAATAAAAATTTTAATATAATATAATATCTATTATACAAAAAATGATATTTCTTTATAATAATTCTGAATTTATTCGACTCTTCTATTTTTATAATTCGTATTGAAGACAACGTAATGTAATAAGCTATAATAACAATATATAACTATATAAGTATTTTAAAATAAAAACAACATYAATAAACGTTTAATAATTCTAAGGTTTTTGACCAAAATGGTTTGACATTTTCCTTCTAATTCTTATACCTGGGCAGTGAACAATTTAGTTTTGAATCGACAAGGTTAATTATTTTTAAAAAAGTTGTGTACAATAAAAATAAATTTTTGTTCAGAAATACTTACAAAGTTACAATGGTTCTTCAAGTCTTACAATTCATTTACTATTATTACTTATATATTTAAAAATTAAATTAATTTAGGAATACAAATCGTAGGATACATATTATATAGGTCCCTATTTTTGGTATTGTCTTAACAAATTTTTTACAATGTTATAAATAATAAGTTATACATTTATACGTGCAATCATAATATTATTACATGTCATGTTCTATGCCTAGGAGATTGTTTATCTATTCTAGATTCTTCTGAAAACGTCAGTGTTATTTAAAAATCCATTTAAAAAAAATCACTATAATTTATAACATAAATATTACATTGTGATAATATCGCGTGGTTTCGAAGTTCGATTTTAATATTAATTTTAATAGTACATCGAGATAAATGTGCTAATTAAACAAATAATATTATACGACGTATACCTACACACGTATACGGAAATTTCGACAGTCATTACACTGATTAAACTGTTATTAATACGATTTCAATGTTCAAAGTGAGTATAGTGTGTAGGAGGTCACTACCTACTAAAGTTTGCTCTACTTTGTCATACGAAATATATGTATATACCAGATACCTACTAAAATTTACCGTGATCCGTTTATTATACGGTGATACTCAAATATAATAACTAATAAAAAAACTAAATTTATATCGAGTGATATGAACGTCGTTTATCATGATTATTCAATAATATTTGACGTACAAAATTGAGATCGACGAATACACGAATTTTAATAAGAGAGCGAACTCGAAAGGAGCTCACTGCTAACCGTATTCATGAAAACGCTTGTGTATAATTATATAGTACAACGCCGCATATTATATTATACCCTATAAACGTGTACACAAATCAAAAATTGTAGTCAATAGTAATAAATAAGAACTTGTTTTTGTATCTCACGTAAGATGACTTTAAAAGTATCATTATTATGAGTAATACTATGTGTTTAATAATAACTGTTAATAACCTCTTTGAACTCGATGAATACGAAAAAGCACAAAATATTATAATATAATATTCTAAAGGTACGTTTGGAAAAAACCTTCGGTGAACGAAAAATATGAGTTTGAAAAATAATAATATATAAGGCGGCGACAAAAGAATATAATTTACAATATTCAAATATTAAACATATGTATTATGTGACATAGTGTGCGGTTCTTTTATAGTAAACCAGGCAGTATCTTAAAGCCCAAAAGGTATAATAGGAATTTTAAAATATTTTTATTTTTATACGAAAAAAAAAATCTTAAAATGTAAAATCGTGTGTACCTACTTGAATGTTTTGAAAAGAAAATAATTTAAAAATATTTACATTTTTTAAAAATACTGCGCATGGTTCACGGTAAATGATTCTCTTTATATGCAATGTATAAAATAGCTGGTATAATATTATGTTGAGTCAACGTCGCAGAAATGTGTCAAAAATTATATCAAAGGTCGATCAAAGGATTCCGCACGGTCTTTTGTGCACATTTCAATGGAAAACCTTTGTCTTCTAATCCGCTGATTCTTATTATATAGGACATCATCACCTGAACCTTATGTAGGTACAAGAAAAACTTCTTTTTTTTTAATGGGTTGGTGTATATTATTTTTAACTATTATTGACGACTGATAAGTTTTTGCTATCACTGTCTTCGCGAATATTTTTCTTTCTTATGTCCTAAACACGTCGGCCTCTTCGGCTATAGTCTGCAGGATCCTCGTTGTCGAACAAAACGACATATAYCTATTTCTATCGCAATCGTACGTTATAAGTTTATAACTGTTATAACTTTATAAGTAAATAATATAAATTATCATTGCAGACTACGGGGCAGTCTACATCAGTTTTATTTTCACATATATCACAGCGTATCAGTGATCCCTCGGGGCTTGGACAGCGAAAAATTATTAGCAATCAGTAATGGTTAAAGTCGAGAGCATTTTTTGGAAGGAATAAATAGATACCTACCGAAAATTTATTAGCGTGCCATAATACGCAAGGGTCTTTAATGTTTTTGTGATAGCTTTGTTTTCATTAAAATCCTATGTGTACTATAGTAATGTGTTAAGTGCGTAATATTTTGCTAAATACATTTCGATTGATTTATGCTTTAAAAAATTATATTAACTTAATATACTATATAGGTAGATACAAACAAATAAATRATTGTGTTATTAAACTTGAGCGATGGTTATTATTATAAGAATACTAAATAACTTTCAAATTTACAACTTATCAAAATATTAAATATCTTATTTCCATAATGGTATAGATAACTATTACTCGTATATGTATTTCTTTATAAAATCTTTTATATTGTTATGTTTGGAATAGATATCATAGTTTGGTAGGTTGATTATTTCGAAAAACGTCAACGCTTCGCGATAAAATAATAAATAGACTAGCAAGTTGGTATCACTTGGTTGTGCAAAAAGTGTCGAATGGAGATGAGGGTCGTTCTCCGACAAACATAAATTTGATAACATGATATAACCTCAAATATTCTCCATTACCAACATAGTTTTTATTAAATTGGCGTTAGGGAAATTTTGTACTAAAAAGTAAACAAATTTGTAATCTGAATCGTCGAAACTTAAAAGCTCATTTTTAAGAATAAAACCGCTTAAAAAGAAAATCTTTGAAATTAAGGCCATCTAAATCCAACAATATTATAATGCTTTATTATTTTTACTTTGTCATTATTTTAGACTCTACAAACTCAAATTTTGTAGTAGGTATATCTTATTATTTTAAATAAAATGTATATACCATGGCTAAATAAAATTAAATAGTTGTTTATCCAATTCCTCATTGAAACGCCACCAATATTGTTTAGGTCTATCTGGTCTTTATTAATGTTTGTAATATTCTTTTAAATTTATTTTACTATTATTTATAGAACTATAATAATTGTTGAACCAACTAAATTTGATTGCATTTGTTTACAGTTATGCATTTATACTTCAGTAGTTTAAAATGTTAAGTGTATTAATTGTATTTGTTTAATTAATATAATACGTTTAAATAATTGAAACGATTTGACATTTTTTTTTCATGACTGTCGGAGAAAAAATTGGTTGTTATCATTTATCGGAGAACGGCCCTCGGCCGTGTCGARTGGGTCACTGAAATGGATGTTAACTTATTGTGATAAAACATAATATTGTATACAAAAAGCGATCGAGCAGAGACAGTCTGTCTGCAGCCTATATTATTTTGTATTATATCTATTTTAAGATGTATTGCTATTAGTAATTTAAATAAATAATAGTTTTATAGAAGGTTGTTTTCATATTTTACAAGAAGATAATATTTTTTTAGACAATATCAATTTACCGTAGAACAGTATGAGTTTAGTAGGTTCGTGTTATAAATTTCTAAATTTGAAATAGAAGATATTGAAATATCTATAGACGAAATCGTGCTTATCTATTGTTCAGATTTTTATTTCCAGTTTTAACATCCCATGAGAAACATTGTATTGTTTGTATAAAATTGCCAAGCTTTAGCTATAATTTAGTAATATACTTACCTACATTCAATATTTAACATATTATTTWAATTTACTCTGATGATTTAAAATATAGAATTCTACGACGAAAAATTTAATTYTACAGAAAAAGTTTAGAYTTCGAAAAACAAGAAATTTGTTGATTTTTAAATAATGTYGGTTTTTCTTAAACGTTTACTGCCATTTTTATGTTACTATGAAGTATGAACACATATATTCAGGAAATTTTTTTTAAAAGTCGTTCTTTGAATGTTATGATTTATTATTGCACTTCTGAATTTATATTAATTATACCCATATAAGCTAAATCTATTGCGTCTTCACGTCCTGTACATCGTACTCTTACATTTTGTATTCTCTATGAATAATTATTTTAAAATGATTTTTATACTTAAAAAACCGTGCATTTATATCTCATATAAATTCATCAAGGAAGTCATTAATTCTAAACTATCGAGATCGTGGCCAAGATTTGATTACAATGATATTTGGTATCGTAAGTTGTGATAGGTGTGGTATAGCGTGATGTGGAAGTGATCCTCAACACGGTTGTAAATAAACTAAAAAACCGCGTTAAATTGACTAACAACTATTACAATATTATTGGTTAATCGCAATAATACAAATGACGCATATTCTATTATATGTCATTACAATGACGGATATTAATTATTAATACGTATTACTTATTGTTTACAGTTTACATAATCCCCAATGATAACAACATAACTTTAAATCTAAATAGCTTGAGGCTTTAAGCAGCTAYACCTATATATAGCTGATAACAATATACGATATACAGGGTAATCAATATACGTTTCTACACTCACTATTTAGAAATTTTTTTTACATAATTTAATGTTATTTCAAAATATAATTTCTGAAAAAAATCTATTTTTATTATTTTTAATTTTTTTTTACTTTTTAAATGACACCATACTCTATTAATTGCATATTTCTAAGCAGAATATTGTTTGGAGTACTTCAATCAATTTTTGGATAAGTAATTCATAAGTTAAAATCATTTAAAGCTTACGTGAGTAGAGTAAAGTGGTACAGGATTACCCCGGAAATGTTTTTCACTAAACTTCACTAATCTAAACTTTAATTATTATCATAACTTATTAATTACTAGTTCAAAAATTTATCTTTATAGATTTAAATACTCCAAATCATCCAAACCCGCTAAATTCTAACCTCTCATCTTAGACTCTCCCGGATAACCCTCCCCGTCGACTAAAACGAAATTGGCCTAGTGATTTACTTTGCTAAATAACAAAAAAAAAAAACCAGTTTGAAGTAGTGTCAATGCATGCACCCTTCAGTCAAGCCTCCAAACCTAGTAAAAAAAAAACTCATATTTACTTATTGTTTTATTTTATTACAGATTGTAAATTTATTTATATTATAAAATAAAAAAATTATATTGCAAAAAATTAAAAAATTAAAAAATACTCCAAATAATATTTTGCGCTGAGGAATTTGAAATTAATGAAGTATAAGTATGATTTCATTCAAAAGTATGAAACTTAAAAAATTGTTTTCAGAAATTGTTTCAAACTATATTTAATTAAACAAAAAGGACATTAAAAAAAAAAAATTTGAAACATTATTGAAAAATAAATGAGTATACACTTAAATGGATCACCTGGTATTTATTATAGGTAAGCAGGTAGGTACTTTTAATATATATAATGCGTATTACACAAAGCGTGCAATAGAAAACAATTATTTCCACAGCTAATAACATTCTCATTAATAAAATTAGTTACAGAAATTCTTCCTAAGATAAAAAAAAAAAAAAATGATTTCCGTTTATTCCACCGTGTTAATCGATACCTACATTGTCAAACTGGTTAATTTTTTTTTAACAATAAACACTTACGAAATTAACGAAAAGTTGAAAAGTTTTTGAATTTTTGTTTTCATAATTTTTTGTAAAAATAATACATAATAAAACCAAAACTTTAAAGTATAAAAATTGGTTTTAAGATTTTTTTCTATTTTAATCCTTTTAAGTAGGTACCTAAACATTTTTAAATTCATAATCCGAAATAGAATATTTTAACAAGTATATTTCAATGTATAAAAGATGAATTTTGAACAAGTAGTATTAATTATTTGTATAAATAATTGTCAAGTAGTGGTCTGAAATGTCGTGGATTGAAATGACACTGCAGGAGTAAGATAAGAGAACTTTTATCCATCGAACTTCTCATAAAAATACTTAAATTTTGAAAATGAAAAAAATTTACTTATGTAGTTAATTTCATCCGCAAAAGAAAAAACTTTAAGAAAATTTGATGTAATGCCGCTGTATAGGTCGTCGGTATTGAGTGTGTTCTTCGTCAT